TTCCGGTGCGCCCACGTACCGAGTGGAAATTGGATCATCGAGCGGAACCACAGGACCATCAAGACCATCGCAGCCAGGACGGGCTGCGCGGTGTCTGAGGCGGTCTACTTGTACATCGTGACCCCGAAGGATGATGTCTCACCCTCTACGGCGCCAGCCGACACATTGCATAGGTACCACGTCAGAATGAAGGGCAGAGAGACCAACCCGCTGACGGAACTGAAAGTAACTGGAGAGAGGCTGAAGAAAGGCGATGTCGTCTGGATTAAAAACCCGTGCAGCAAGTGCACGACGAAATACGGAACCGGACGCGTCACTGAGGTGATCAGCCCACAGGCGGTGCGGGTCGACGGTGTACACCGTCACGTTAAGGACCTGCGGCCGGCGACGCAGTTGCAACCACCGCTGGACGACGAGAGCGAGTCTGTCTGGCCTGTGGGTTGAGAAAAGAAAGAAAGGGTCCAAGATGGCGTCCGTGACTTTTTAATATTCGTGCAGTCACGCAAAGTCGCGTTACACGCATGCTAATGAGGTGTGTCTCGGCTCCATAAAAGCAGGTCGCTTGGAGAAATAGGCAGAAGGGCATTACACCCGTGTTCGGTGTACATTGCTTTGCGTTGCATCGTGTCAGACATTTTTCGACGGAAGTGTTGCGTCCCTTACACTTTTGAATTTGACCTCTTTTGCTACACGTTCCTTGCAGATTGACCACAGAGTCTCGATTGGATTAAAATCAAGAGACTTTCCGAGCCAGTCTATATTTGCTCACTGGTAAGACTTGGGTTCATGCAGCGTTACAATTTTCATATGCTTCCTTAGGGTAAGGTCCATCGCAGACAATGGTCGTAGGACAACTAATCGAAAGTGTTTGGGCGTGATAAAAATTTGATGCAATCCGGAATGAGGTAATATTTTTCAAGCCAAACAAATTTCATCATACACTTTGAATATAGATTCATATTACTGCACACTACTGCAAATGACCTAATCTGAGAAAAAACTAGAAATCGATTGCACCCTATCATTCCAGTTGGTCTAAAACTGACTGTATGGTTAAAGGATGGAAACTAAAGAGGTTGTTTCAATTGATTTAAACAAAAGAGTGTACAAATCTACTTAGAAAAATCCAGAAGCTTAGATGGAGATCCCATGCAACTCTTAAAACAATTTACGGAGAACAGAGACAAATCTCTCTTAAGCGCAAAGAAAAACGATTACAGTTTGCCGGCCATTGCCACTGAGCGGACAGGGAAAATCGTTTCATCTTTACTTTTATGCCATCCGTCGAGAAATGTCTTCTCACGGAAATTAATTTATCGGGACTCGGGGTTGGACATTGGCTATCTGAGGACAGCAATACAAGACTGAACATTATGGAAAGGGATTCTTAATGGAATTCCGACAAATAATAGGATGATGCTGGAAATTTTAGCGTCTTTTTTGCGTTAAAAACAAATTTATATGGAAATTCTTGCAAAAAAGAAATAACTGTCGAATTTTAATTAATTTTTCGGGACTAATTCCCAAATAAATGAAACTATGTTTGAATTTTTTTTCTAGAAAACTTAGTCAAATATTTTTTACATCTGTTACTCCCACTTACTTAATTTTATGAAATTTTAATAAATTAAAATTGCACCCTCTTCATATTTATATTAGTTAATAGCAAAACTCATCGGAGAATTTAATTCATCAATTAGTTTTTATCAAACAGAATCACTATTTACCAAAAATCTGCCATGAATCGTAAAATAAATAATGCAAAAGGACTAAGACATTATTTAATTAGAAAAACTTTTAATTGCTTTTATAAATAAGATATATTAAGAGTATTATTGTCTTAAGAAAAAACTTCGCTGAATAATAATTTTTTACAAAACTAGTAGAATAATTTATTTAGTTTTAAATGTTTAAAATTCTGTATTAATCTCACCTTTCTAGATGATATAATTATTAATATATATATTTCACCTTTTAGATGATATAATTATCAAATTATTATTTAATTATACTTACTAATCATGAATGGAGAAGCTTGATAAAAATGATCAAACACCAATATTTTTAATATAATATTTTTGTATGTGTACACGCCGATTGTACGCGCCGATGTTTGTAGATACGGTTACCAATACACGACATTATCAGAAATAACCTCGATAACTATTGTAAATTTAAAGCCATAAAGTCCCTAAAATTCAATGTAACATTAGATTACGGAGAATATTTTCTTAATTTTTTAAGATTACTGCGTACTTAAAAATACATATATAAAAGACCCTCTCGTTATATTCAATTACTTTTTACGATTAAAACCTCTACTGAACAACTTTAGAAGCACATCAAACTGACCTCATACTTCAACAGCTTAAATAAACAGCTATCGCTGTCTTAAAAAATGCATTTTTGCAATATTTTAAACTTAAAGTAAATAACGTTTGATTTAAATCAGATTAATTATAATTAAAATCAGCTAATATTCCTCACATAAATTTTCCGAAAAGTACAGGTATAATCTCACCTTACGTAGTTAATTAGTTTCAGATGTCATGACTTAGGCCGACTTAAGTCTTAATAACCAAACTATAAACCGCAAATAACCCTAACCCCATTGCATATTACAGTATTTATGATATGCACGTACAGTATTTTGAATAAAATAATTTATCAGCAAGAGTTAAACGTAAGCCTTGTGTTTAGCATTAGCAATGAAAGAATGGTATGGCAACTTTTTCCAGTATAATCCAGTTTTATCAACGTTAAAAATCTGTTCAGAAAGAAACCAGTTTTCTTCGATGATCTTAGCCAATGCTTTAGGAAAACAGCTGCTGCTTGTCCGTCAGCTGATGCACTTGCTTCTTAATAGAGTGATAAATTCTTGGTTCTTTAAATCTTACAAACCAGACTTTACTTGCTTTAAACTCTACAACTTTCTCATCTGTGTATTTTTTTCTTCAGGTCCTCAAAGACAATGCTTTTGCTTGAATGATTTCTTGACTAATAGCAGCACGAAGATGATTTGACCTATCAATCCAAAGAGAAAGAAGTTGCTCCATCTCTTCAAAGATTTTTCCTCTTTTCTTGTTGATAATATTCTTCATTTCATTCATTTGATATGTGCGAAAATCTTATCCTTATTGTGAACAATCGTTTATACAATCTATACAATACTCATTCCAAAAGATCGAGCAACTGATATAACCTTTTCACCTTTTTCATGGCATTTTATCATAGTAAGTTTATCGTCCAACATTATAGCATGACGCTTAGCACTTGCACTAGGAATTTTCTTAGGAGCCATTACGGCAAAATATAAAGTCACTAATGAATGAGAATGAGAGTGTAAGCGATAAGCAGACGTATACCGTGCGTATGCCTAAACTAAACTGGATTTCAATTTCACAGGAATCACAAGTAGTGCTGACAACGACATCAAACAGTAGATGTTGGATATACCGTGGAAAACGCTAATATTGAGCTCTTAAACACCGCTAAGTAAGACGACAGCACAGTCATAGATGTTTTCATATTTCATTTTCTAGGATTTATGATGATTATATTAACAATTGCTGTAAATATACGTATTTTAATATGATTTTTATATACTTTTATTCTATTTTATTGTACAGTAACATGATTTTATGTGCTTTTAACGCTTTTCTAGTGATATTACGATTTCAATATTCAGTAAAGTCGAATAAAACACTTGATTTTTATTTTCCATATATATATATATATATATATATATATATATATATATATATATATAACAAACGATGTATGATCGAGAACGACATATCTCGAAATGCCGCAACCCGATTTATTTCTGCATATTTTATTTTTGAAAGATTTTTAATAAAGAGAATTACATTGCAATGAAAGACAACTAAAAAGGGTGCTAATCAGCTATTTAAAGAAAAACAAAAAACTCCTTCCAGTCAACATAAATTAGTATTGAAATATACCAAAGTATTTTGCTTATTGGAAATATTAAATTTAATCTATTAACTTAGCATTAAAACTAAAATAAAAATTTCAAAATAGATTTTTCCTTTTTTAAAATTTATTATTAACCTTAGATATCGCGTTTTCTGTGGTGTTACCGAATATATATATATATATATATATAATGAAAATAGATATCTGTTCATTAGTAAGATATTTATATACAAAAAAGTTCGTGACACTAACGTAAAACTAACTTTTTTTTTGTTTAAGAGAGAAATTTAATAGCTTTATATTTCACTGCTAAATATTTACTGCACATTAATTTTTCGAAAATGCACGTCCATGTTAATGCAATGAACCTGCAGACGACAAGTAATGCAGTGAATTTTATTTTATTTTTATTTTTATAGCGTTAACTGACAACCAATAGCTTGCGAGATGATTTTAACTGCGACCGTTCTAAGGATGGTAGCACTGGTAATAGTAAGGTTGGTAGCACTGGTAATACGCAGTATTTGAAGGCAGCGCCGTGCGGGCTCAAACATGAGAAGTTGGAAGCCAACTATTTTACAGTCTGCGAATCGCGTATATATACAATGAACCCTCTCTCTCTCTCTCTCTCTCTCTCGCTGTTTATCTTCCCCCCTCTCGTTATCTTTGTATCTTTCTTCCCTCTCACTTACTATTTATCTCTTTCTATATATCTATCTATCAGTCTATCTAACTCATTTCTCATATTTCTTTCTCTATATGCCGACAAGATTTTTAGAATATATTCGTATGACTACAATATGTATTCTTTGTAAGAAATCAGTTTGAAGGAGGTCAGGTTTCATTGAAGTATTTTTATAAGGAGAGTTAGAATAATGGTTTAGTGACACAAGATTTTTTTTACTAATTAACCCATAGCTAGGGAGAGAATCGGTGGATCTCTACCTTCCGCAAAAGTATTTGTGCGTAAGTGTTTATACCGGACCCAACTGGAATCGGAACTCGGCCCGCCGATTAAAAATCCCGAGTCATTATTCATTACACCACCCGCACATCCAAACCTACAGGACCTGGTATTTCCAAGCGGTCACGCATTAATGTACTGACCAGGCTGGACGTTGCTTAAATTCGGTGATCGAATGGGAAATGGTGGTTCAACGTGATGTGGTCGTAAGCCCCTATGCTTCTGTATATACAGAAATTCTTGGGCACCCCGAGGCGTTGTAATGGTTCGCTAGAACAATTACGACTGAGTAGTGAGTTCGATCCTCACTGGGTGACCCATACTTTCGACCTTGTGCTGCATCTAAGCTACGCTTGGAAAATCACTATACAGAAATTCTTTTCTTCTGTATCGCTGAACGAAAAAAAAAAGAAAGAAGTCGCGGAAAACACCGAGGGGGGGGGGATTTGCAGTCTATTATATTTCTTTATATAATAAATGGTTGCTCTGTATTGTAATTTTAATATTTTACATTGAAATGCTTTGCTTTTTATAGCGTTGTCGTCTGTGACGTACATTTTATTACTGCATTTAATATATATATATATATATATATATATATATATATATATATATATAGCTATTTCCCAAGCGTAGCATAGATGTGACACAAGACCGAAAGTATTGGGCACCCAGTGAGGATCAAACTCACTACGCAGTCGTAAGTGTTCTATCGAGACAAGCTTGCTAAACAGTACACCACCTCGAGGTGCCCAAATGTATGTATGTGTGTGTGTGTGTGTTTGTGTGCATGTGTGTGGTTTTATTAGGCCGGTTAATGAAATTAGAGGAATAAAAAGTCAACAAAATGATCACAATATTGCCCGTAAGATTGATGAAATTTATAATATATTAGCATTTGAATAATGGAAGCACGGAGCGAAAGGTTTGAAAGTAGGAATTTTCGGACACACCAGTGTCCTTTTTCAAGGATACGAGGAATAAACAATAAAATTCTTCGAAAGAGTGAGTCCCATTTCTTTGTTTATTCATCGTCTCGTTGAAAAGGAACACAGGCATGTCCGAAAATTCCAACTAATATATATTAAATATCATGAATCCTATTGCTAATACACTTACAGACCATTGTGTTGGTTTTTTATTCCTCAAATATAATTAATCGGAATATCAAATTTTCATATTATGAGAAGTACTCTTGGACCATCTTTCGTTTCAATTATATATATGTGTGTGTGTGTGTGTGAATATATATATATATATATATATATATATATATATATATATATATATATATATATATATATATATAAACTTTTTTTTTTATGGATATTCATATTTGAGTAGAAGCTCTGTTTTTTTTAATTTAACAGTATTTTTTTCTCCAACTACATCTACTGGCCTGAATAATCGAGAAATCTTGTCAGAAGAATATGCGTCCTCAAGCAGGATATTTCTAACAAGATTTCTCGATTATTCAGACCGCTATTATATAGTTAGATAAAAAATATTGGTAAATTAAAAACGCGGCTTCTACTGAAATATGAGTACCCATCAAAAGTAACGTTTAAATAAATATATTAAAATAACAACACATACACACACACACACACATATATATATATATATATATATATATATATATATATATATATATATATATATATATATATATATATTATTATTATTATTATTAATAGTAATCATATAAGTATAAGAAATTATACTCGTTCGGAAAATCTTCAGTTTTTGATTTGCAAATAAATCAATACCAAAGGGAAAAAAAGGTATAAAAAAAGGAATAACCAAGAACATGTACGTTAGCCGAAAATAATCGTCTAGCATGCAAGTCCAAAGCCCAAAGAAAAAATACCGATACGAGTAAGCAAGATAGCTAAATAATGTGCTCAATACAGTAAGTAGCGTAGACCTAGTTAAACCTAGAGAGCCAGAAAACCCTACCCAAGGTTTCACCAAAGCGGATCGTCAGGGAAGGCTGGCTAAAAAAGGATAAAAAATGAACGGAATACTTATAGTCAAATATACAAAAAAAAACTAACCACGTGGTTACGTTGTTTTTTTCCAAAATTTTTATCCGTAATTTTTATCTATTTTATTGTTGCTTTCCTTTTTTCTTCTTTTCATTTCATTTTATTTAATAATATTTTATTACCATATATTCCATTTTTCCTCCTCATTTTTATCTCGTCAACGTTGTTCTAACCACAGTCCTCTTTCTAAAGTTAGCAACTTGGTCGAAAATAGCGCATTTTGGTATTGATATATATATATATATATATATATATATATATATATATATATATATATATATATAGCTTAGATTGGATTAAAAATATGGATCAATATTGTGATGTTCTTTCTTCGTTTAATGATAATGTTCTCAGACGTTATGAAAAGCATTTACATAAAATAAATAGACAACATTTGTCTATATTATTTAATGAAACGTGTATGAATATATATATATATATATATATATATATATATATATATATATATTTACACACATTTACATAGAGTGTGCAATGGTAAAATTGCCGCCATTTTATATTTTTTATTTCACGCACGAGCGTTATTTGTTTTGGATTTTGTCGACTGCACAGAATCGTGCGGTCAGTTGGACACCGTCTGTGAGAAAAAAAGAGCACCATGACACAATTGACTCCGCCAGAAATTTGGAAAGGGAATGTTGAACTACTTAACATTCGAGCCGGAAGCTCCAATAAGAACATGTGCTTGGGTGCCTATCTGAGGACAGTGCAGAGGATTTGGAAAGATTTGGGTGAGTCTAATGGTCATTATGAAGGTACGGCAGTTTGAAAAACTGACTCTGATTCGTTCTGATAAGAAAAGAACTGCTGAATTTGTTACTGAGGTTTCCAGACTCAACACGGAGGCCTACATCAAGTGACTTGATGAGATAGTGTTGCCCTGAGTCAAGTGGTTAGCGGCTGGAAGACCCTATGTCTTGCAAGAGGACTCTGCATCATGCTACACAAACAAGAGAATACAGGTCATGGCACTCAGTGGAGTGATGGCATGCATCTTTTCTCGAATCTGGTTCTTTCCGAAATATTTTACCTAAACAAAAACGGTGATTAACGCAGCAGTTTAAGACTGTCTGCCTGCGCATTCGAGAAATTTTAGTTATGAAAATGACTTTTGCCGACAGGGAGAGCGAACCACTTTGTAGGAGAAACCAACGTTTAACCTGGCATCCTTTACTGCTCGGCCACGACGAACGCTATACTTCCGTTCCTGCCAGGAACACATTTTCTTTGCTAAGATTTCTCAAATGTTTACGCCGTAATACATACAGTTTAATAAATAAGAATGGTGCATCTATTTCAAATACATGGTGCACACTAAAATAACGTTTAATATATGTATATATATATATATATATATATATATATATAACGTGTGTAACATCAAACTTGTTCAAATCGTGTAACAGCATAATTGGCCATCCCACAAAAATATCTAAAAAACACTAAACTTATTGAGTTTCCTTTTCAGATAAGATGTTTAACCATCTTGACACTATTTGTCGTAAGAATTACTTTGAGATTTTCAACTCGAATGTGAATTGGTTAAAATCGTTTTGTGTCAGCCCCACAGTCTTCCCAGCTGAGAAATGGTGAGAGGAAAAAGATCACTGAGGCCTTCAGTAATGGTACTAAAAAGTCATACACTGGTTTCCATCTTCAAAGCTTATTCAAGAAACATCAAGAGAACGGTGAATAAGTATAAGAAAGAGGAAACAGTAGACAGGAAAACTGGATCAGGAGGTCACAACAGAAAGAGGGATCATCATTTCAACTTAGAGCCAAAGAGATTAATTAGAAAAGATCCAATTCATAAGACGTTTTGTACGTGAAAGAGGAGTTTCAGCTATGACGTCCAAAAAGAAATGAAAAAAAAACTTGAAAATGATACAGTAAGTGAAACCTGTGAGGTAGATTGTAACTCCAGGACAGAAAGTTAGAAGGTTAGATAGACCGAAGATCATCTTGAATAAGTTGGAAAATGATCCTGGATATATATATATATATATATATATATATATATATATATATATATATATATATATATTTGAACATAATTTCGATCCTTCATGAGCTTCCGATCCTTAGCTGTGATTAATTGTAAAATCCGTGGGTAAGTAATCTAAATGCATCCCAATAATATAAAATATTAAAACTGATCCACAAAATATATTTATTACAGAGCATATAAATGAATTACATATAAATGAAATTCGGTTGTACCCCATTTAGATGGCCTTCTATACTTTCGTTTTTCTTTCCTCCGTTTTAATTTTTATTATAAAAAAACAAAAAAAAACGTTACGATTCATTTTTTTATCATAAGTTTTGGTATTTCCCGAGGAGGGAAATGGCCATCTAAAATTGAATTTCATTTATATGTAATTAATATAGGTAAGTAGTATATATGTACGAGGTACAACCAAAAAGTATCCGATTTTTCCAGCCAAAACTAGTCCAGCGTCGGTAAAATCCTCTGCATGAGAAATAACACCGGCGCATGTGTGAAAACATTCGCGCCAGTAGACCGCGTCAGTTCCCGGGTGTTACGCCTAGACTACAGTCGTGTAGTAGGATCCCGTCGCATTTTCGTTTTCACACAAACAGAGATATTCTGTTAAGTTTGGCCAAATGCTTGGCAATACTCAAGCTGAACCCACTTGAAGATTCAGCAGGCCTTTGGCGGTGATGCCATGTGCAAATCTCAGTTCAATATTTGATACAACCACTTCAAAGATGGCCGTACTCAGCGGAAGGCAAGTTACGCTCAGGCAGACCATCCACATGCCAAAACGTGGAGCTGATTCCGAACGTTCGTCGAATATTCATGGAAGATCGTTGTTTAACCATCTAAGAAATTGCTTATGAAAGTGGGAATAAGGACAGGATCTGAGCATTCCATTTTAACGGAAGATTTGTGTCAGCGAAATCCGTTCCCAAGAGGCTGGGTGAGCAGCAAAAATCACGTGCTTTTCAAATTAGGGAAAAGCCTGCAGTCAAACAGTGGCAAATCGGGAGAGTAAGGAGCCTGTCGAACAAGTGGTGTATCGTCCTTGAACAGGAAAGCTTGGTGTTCTGCCATCTTCCTTTGAAAACCCAAATCTGACTGACTTGGCCTACCGGCGCGAAAATTTTCAGACACGC